CTGCGTGGGGACCCAAGGGTGAGCCTGAGCTTCAGTTGTCTTCTGGTTTAAGGGTCGGGAGAGCTGAACGGATCCTGCAGACCTACTCGTCTCTCCCCTCCCCGTCCCCGCCACCCACACACACACCCACAAGAGAGCACCTGGCCAGGACGACATGTCCAGGGTGGAAAGTCAGGCCTGAAAACGGCCATCATCTGCAGAGGGAGCCGTCAGCTAGAATTGTCAGTGTACGGGGGAGAAGCCACCTAACTAACATGCGGGCAAGGCCCCTCACAACTTAGAACTAGAAAGACGAGAGAGCATGCACGGGATCAAGGGCACCGGATCTTTCTTCCCGGGCTCGTGTCCAGCGGGTCCGCATCAGTGACTCACACTCGGGCACTCCCAGGAGCATCTGTGTGCTCAGGGTCTACAGCTCAGGACCACGCCTAGGCCGCCCGGTGCAAAACCGAACGCTTTTCCTGATCACCACCACTTGATGCAGAGAACAAAGTACAATAGGGAGAGAAGCCCCGCCTCCCTCCCGGCAACCCCTCGAGAGGGGCCACAGGGTGCCCCCAATTCTCAGGCTGCAGTCCTGGCCCCAGGACCTCAGAATGTGGCTGTCTATGGAGACAGGGCCTTCAGCAAGGGGATGGAGATGAACTCACCGGTTTCGGGGTGGGGTGGGGTGGGGGGGCAAGGTGTGAATATAGCGCCTGAGGGACAGAGACAGCATGGAGGACCCGGCGCCAACAGGCCAGAGACGACGGATGGGTGTGTGAAGACACCAGCGCTGCTGAGACTGATGCCGGACTTGTGCCCCCCCGCCCCCCAGGACTGTAGAGCAGTTAACTTCTGTTGTTTACAGCACCCCATCTGCGGCCCCCGCTACTGCAGCTCCGGGGAGCTTTTCACCCACCCTCCTGAACGGTCATTCTCAGTCCATTATGCACCATTTAAGTGAAAACACTACTTGGGTGGAAGCTTAGCAACTGTCTGAGACGAAGTCACAGAGATGCTCGGGAGGTCTAGCACACTGATGCAGTTGGGTGAAGGGGCTACTGAAAAGGCTCCCGAGACAAGCAGCCCCCCCCCGAAGGTGCTGGGACAGGCCTGGGGACCGAAGGGTCACTCATTGCCACTGCTAAATGAAATAACTAACGGCAGGGCAGGCGTTTAGGCCTTCCAAACAACCCCGCGGGGCCGGTGTGGCTCTCCTCAAGCGGCAACTGGCTGGAAGTAGCAGGGCAAAGAGGTGGCAGACCCAGGACACACACCTTGGATCCCACACCTTCCTAGAAGACACGTGTCACCTAGGACCACACATTCAAGCCCCCAGAGTGATGATGTGGATACTGTGGACGATGTGGATACTGGCATGCCAGAGACAGGACAAGTTCAGAGGTGACTCTGGAATCAGCACATCTTTGCCTCCACGCAGAGCCTTGCATTGCTCAAAGTCACCTTCCCTTTGGCTCAAAAGGGATTTCAGGGTGGGCTCTGTGGAGTTGGACTAGAGACCTCCCCTCCGAGTGACTGCAGCACCTCAGCTCAGACTTCTGCTAGAGTAGGGTACAAATGCCAGTCTCCACGGCAGGGCCCGCACTTAGCATAACCCCATGCAGATAGCAGACTTGAGGGGGCTTACAGTGACAGCCACATCACAATACAATTAAAGGCTGATGCAGATTAAAAATCACAGCAAGGAGGGGGCACGGTGAGGCCTAGGGGTGAGATCTGTGGTGACACAACCACACTTCAAGTCATGTTTCCTGGCAGTCAAGGTAACAGGCATTGGGGCAGGAAAGATGGCTCAGTGGTTAAGAGCACTTATGGCTCTTCTTGTGGACCTGGGTTCTCTGCCTCCTCATCAGATGGCTCATAACTGCCCCTAAGTCTAGTTACGGGGGCTCTAATGCCCTCTGTCCCCTGAGGGCATCTGTACATATATGATATGCATAAACGCATGCACACATACACATAAGTAAAAGATAAACAAATAAACACTTTTAAAAATTGACAGTACCCTATCCCAAGTTCTTAGATACAAAAGCATCCCAGAATAGGCACCCCATCAGAACTCTGAGTTATAGAAGAATTCGACTAGTTGGAAGTATGTCTCACACAGAATGCCCGCCCTGAAGCCTCCAGATGTCCTAAGCGTCTAACAGGTTTATACGCAGGCAGTAATTCATAGGAAGCTGAATTTTGGACTACGAGACTAGGAAGGACTCTAGTCGTCTCTGTTGCAGGTTCTGGCTCCGAAGAATGCGATGCCATGTCCCCTGGATGCTGCACTCTTCCCCATCAGCGCAGCTCAGAGTGAGCCGTCCAGGAGGCTGAGGGTACCCAGAACACAGCTGTACCACTTCCATGCGGTCCCAGTCCAGCCATCTAAACAATGTTTCCTAAAGCAGCCGTGAGGCCTTAGCCCCTCCTCCACCTTCAGACAGAGAATCTGCTGAGAGTTCCCTGCCCGTTCAATGGCCATTGCTGCCTTCAGGCCAGATGACTGCTGCCTAAAGACCACACTTTCTATCTGCCACCGAGGGAACGAGGGCATTTAAACAGCCTGAGTGTGATAGCTTAGTCACCACAAGGGTTGGAAGACAAGGCAGACAAGGCACACGAGGCACCTTCGGATGCAACGAGAGGCCTCTGGACATGACAGGAAGAAATGTGCTCCCACCCCCAGCACTGAAAGCAAGCGGAGCTGTCTGTCACAGATCCATCATGGCCGCACCGGCTTGAAAGTCACATACAGGCTGCAAACGTTCTCACAAACCAAACTTGCATCGTCTCCTTCTCCGTACCATACAACAGAAACTGTTAAAAGTGAAGGTCTTGCATGGGGACACAGAAACC